CATACATACATACATACATACATACATACATACATACATACATACATACATACATACATACATAGGTACACACATACATACACACGTACATACGGGATGATAACTCGAACACTGTTAACTTACTTTACGGAATTTACGCGCACTCCCTCCGGTCCTAATTCGACAGCTAGACATTTTGTGAACTGGTCCAGTGCTGCTTTGGACATACAATAAAATGCCAATCCACTGAACTGAAAAAGAAGGTATTTTCTCTTTTAAAAACTCCATAGCATCCTCAATCACTTGAGGGGAATCCTCAGAAGACGAAAGAACATCAATTTGCTAGCAGGTGATGCAGCATTGGCCAACTGGAGAAGTTCCCAGCTGCATAACTGAATAAAAATCAAATTATAAATTACAACTGGCCTAAGTTGGAAAATGGAACAATTTATGATTAAGTAATGGCAAAACTGAAAATGACAAAATAAAAGACTGAAAAAAGGAAACCAATTCTATTCATGATTAGTCGACTTTGAAGAATGGTCTATTGCTGTTGTAAGGGAATGTTTATCATAAAATATCTGGTTAATAATATGTAAAAAGGGCAGTAGGAAGGCCATCGATGTGCTGGTCCGACCCGTCAACTCGATTATATGGAGAATTGTGGATGAGGCGAGCTCAGGAAAGAACTGGGTGGCGTAGTTGTCGCGCTCAGTTACTGGAGAAGATCAACAGCGCCTCAGCGACGGAAATACTATCTCAAGTATCAAGTAACATAATTAGTACTAAGAAGTACAAAAAGTAAAGAACTCTGAGGATTTTTGAGTTAAATTAACTCTAAAATAGGCACACAAGGGAAAATACGACTTCCCCGTAATAGAATAAAAAAATAGGATGTATTAACAACGGATGAAAGAAGACGAAGAGTAAAAGGAGATGAGAGTTAGTGCCTTTTTAATAATCGGGCAAAACCTAACCGGACAAATTCCGTTGATGCTACTCACGTTGACAATTGAGCCTTTCGATTTAATTAGATGCGGTATTGCTTTTTGCGTTAGCTGAACAATACTTCGTAGGTTCACATTCATTTGTCGATCGTAATCGGCCATTGTACAATCAGCTACTTTTCCTTCAACAAAGGAGAACTGTGCATCGGAACAACTGTATTCACAAAAATTTTGCTTCCTTCTCAACCAACTGTGAGCTTTCTAGGACTGAAACGAAAAAACGATTAAAAAAGACAACTAGAGCAAACCATTTATTATGATACCAGCAGCATTTACCAACGCATTAATAAGACCAAATTTTTCGATTGTACGATTGACCAGGGCTGTTGCAACTTTTTCTTCCGTCACATCTCCTGGTGTTGTTAAAACCTATAAAAAACGGTACAACCCCTGGATCTTTTGGTCAGTTATTCGTCAAAGACTTAGAACCTTAAGAGATATGGAGTTTGTTCAGCGGCCGATTGGGGCAGACTGCAAAAAAATGGAGTTTGTTCAACGGCCGACTGGAGCAGGATCCCAAAAAACCCCAAAACTTTTATCCATTGAGATTGAAGAAAATTTTACACCAAAACCCCAAGTGTAAGCCAACTGTAGTAACCAGGTTGACCCTCCAAGTGTAACTCTTCCGAAGAGAGGCAAAGATTTTTGAGCCGACCCCTTGACCTTCGGATTGAGGGCACAAATATTTAAAGATAATGAAGCATTAAAGTGACTATGTCCCGAGCATTAACAGACATCAGACAATGCATCACAGTAAAAGCAAAACTGATGATAAAAAAAGGAAAAGAAATGTCTCATAAATAAAATAAAATTTTGTGCTGCGCTCGAACGCATCGAACCCTCCCCCCTTCCCCCTCCCCTTCGGAAGATGAAATGCTGCTAATTAGAAACGGAACGATCTAGTTGAAAATTCACACGAGTTACGTGAATGCATCAGACTCAAAACAGAGAATAATGGAAAGGATGCAAGTCGCATCCTGGGCCCCACGTACAAGC